TAAATCGTCTAAGAAAAACTGTTTCTTTTTTGTTTTGTTTGCTTAATTTCTTTCATACATCGTTCTAGCTTTATTATAGTATTTGAATAGAACATGTGGCAACGATAAGATAATTCTTCAAATGATATAAATTTTGTGCATTCTGAGTGTCGTTATAGTAAACAAATATAGTGAATTTTAAAGAGTACATTTATTCTATTGTGGTTTACGCACTGTCGACGAAGTAGATTTAATTCAATCCAATCAATTGAAATGAAATTCAAGAAAAAAATGCGTATAATTTAATATTCCGTACAAGGAAGTCATGTGGTGTCCACATCAGATGTTTCTTTCCCCGTAGAGTGTTGCCATTGCTCGCTTTTGAATCGCTGAGTTTAAAAGTTTGTTAATCAAAATTTCGTTTAAGTTTTACAAAATATGAAATAGGTAATAAAACAAGTTCCAAATTTAAAATTTGGCTTTTCAGATGCCCATATTCGCAGCAGGATTACGTCATTCAAAAGTGAATGGCTCTAGGTACTGTTGTTTCATCACTATGCGAGAAACATACATTTTGCAGATTCTTCATTATTTAATTTCTTCAAATATAATACAGGGCAATAATATTTGGTGGCAACGATTTGAAAAGTGATACAGCCTTTTAAAGTTTTCAACGCAAAATTGCAAAACGAAAACGATAGTACTTCAGGAACAAAGCCTCTTTGGACTAAAAAGAATCTAAGACTCTGCAATGTAGCCCGAACTAAAAGGTGGTGGATAGTTTGTCACCACTAGGCTTTGAAGACTGTGTTTCCTAATCCCAAGTCTGCTTTTAAAAGGGGGGGAGTTCATAAGGTATTTTCTCCCTCCTTCCAGCATGACTTCTGGTATAACGGTAGCCCACTCGGGGCGTATTCGAGAAATCCAGGCTCGAATTCCGGCGAGGACATTGCCCATTCTTTTATCTCTCCTGCCTCAAAATAACCTAAAGACTCTACACTTTCATTCTTGATTTCAATGTGAGGAAAATTCTTTTAAAAATATAATTTCAAAATACCCGTTTTATTCTTAAAACTAGAATATTTATAAATTGCATAATGCATAATGAACAGTAAAATATGTTTTTTTTTTTTTTTTCTTTTATACATCATAAAATTAAAAAAGATACAAAAGGACTGTACCAGATATTTTATCGGAAATTTTTATGACTGGATTTTTTCAAAACGAAGTGGATACAGCCTTCCTCTTCATCTTAGTTTTTCTCACCCGTAGAAACTGGACAGCAGAATTTAGAGGTCGCAGAGTTTGAACCTGGCTGTGAAAAACCTAACACCGACGCTGAGTAAAGCTTGTCCACATTAGTTCAGATAATTGGAATGGTTGGTTAAACTGAATAAGATAAAGCACGTGAGAGTTATATGCTTAAAGAAGGAGCCACCCAGCTCGTATAATATTTAATGACGCTGACTGATGGACCCGGGTTTGAATCTCGATAAAAGCATGTATGTTTGTAAGCAGACACTGTGGTAAGGAGCACTCAAAATACAAGACGAGCTGAAAGTCTTCTCGAGAGTTTGATGGTAGGGTACGAGAAATGGACTTGCTTCCTTGGATACCCTTCCTGAACGTTTGGGTGGAAGTTCAACATTTAGCAAGGTCCGATGATACCTGCTATAAGTTTGGGGGTGGCTGGGTTACTGGCTGCCATCGTTTGTGGAGATACGGAGCACCTTCTTTTGAGCTATGGGGACACTCGTGTCCCCATAGCTCAATTCTTCTTACCTGCTATAAGTATACCTAAAAAAACAAACAGGTGCTTCAACCCATATCAGTGCCTGTCTAAAAAAGAATATCTTCAGGAAGAAATTTCTAATGGTAACTCGCTTATTTGCTTTATATATAGATTATTGTTGTTGTGACCAATCATTATTCTCTGACAAAGATCAGCACAAGCAGAGGACATTCATCGTGGCAAGAAGTCATTTGAGCCTGTCGTTGGCAAGAGCCTTGTGTACCGACATATCCCCTTTAACTCAGTCCCGCCCCGATTTTGAGAGCGAGCAACCCGGGCGGGCAGGTCGGAAGTCTTCTAGCCCCTCTTTCCCTACCAACAACCTCTCAAGAGGACTTTCTCTCTGTGAGTCCACATACAGTTTAAACTTAGTGAACTTTTACATGCTGTGATTATGGACAAAATAGATCCGCTCGTGAACTTTATAAACTGCAATAAACCAATATATCTGAAATAACTCATGGACACCTACCTCTTTAGCATTATTATAACAATTCATTTAACATTGTGTTGCTAGTACTAATTATAATTATCTCATTATGTTTATTTGTTTATTAATTATGTTTATTTCCTTTTTTGTTGCAACCAAATCAGATGTTCAATTTATCTTGTGAACCTCAAATTGTATTCTTACTATTTTGTAATCTACTTATGCCCTACACCATTATTTTTATAAATACTGGATGCGGGGCGTACTGTGGAATTGCACGATGTATCATAATAGGCAAACTTTAGACCTTTTGATAAGCTTCAGTCTATGCATTTCTATAAAACTTGCAATTACCCCCCCTTTTTTTTTTCTCTCAAAGAGTTAGTATGGGAAGGCATTACCAGTTGACCTATGGTACATCGCTGGTGTCCCCCATACTTTTACCTTTACCTTTACCTTTCGGCTTGCCGCATATTTACAATGCCCCCATACAGCACAGACACTATACATTTACAAACATCCATGCCTTCTCCGGGATTCGAAACGGGCCCTTCGTTACGGCACTGAGATGCCGGTTAACTACTATATGGGCGGCTTGTACTCGGATAAAATCCCAAAACTGTCATGCACTAGATCAGGGATTTTAACCGGAATCAAACTCCCGGTGTTAAGCAAACTTAATGAACGTGTCTACGGCTATACCGGTTCTCAGAGAACAGGAAATTTATTGCATTTATTTTGTACTAGCTTTTCAGTGTTCATACATAATAATTATACTTAGTACTTAAATAAGCGTACTTGCAAACTGCTTGTACTTTGGATAGAAAAAACTTCTAATTTAATTTCTTTAACAACATGAGTACTGAGAATAAATATCAAGTGATATAAGGTTAAGGCCGCTGCCAGAGCTAGTATGATAGCATTTTCAGAACTTTGTGAAGCACCGAGAAAATTTTGAGAGCGACAAAATTAAACCAAAACTTTTAGAATTTAAGACAGGCCCTGACGTATACCTGGTGCCCTGACACATATTAAGTCCTAATATTTAAGTTTTACGATATAGCAGTCATTCTGAAATATGTATCCTTAGGGGTTTACTGACCTAGAATTTTTGAACGCATCAAACTATTCTTTATCAAGAACAAAAGGAACTATCAAAAAAATGCTAATTCTTTTAAAGATTCAAAATTCCACTAAAAGACACTTGCTGTTACAGAATACCGAAGAGCTTAAAACCAAACCCATGTGAAACCCACATGAAAGTAAACCATAATTTTAATGGCGGCCATTACTTGTTTACATTTGAAACAGCAGGATAGTGGATTTGTTGCCAATCTAGAGAAACGTAGCTTCGCAACAACAAAGATAACGTTTTATTTATTATTACGAATAAAATCAAGCTCAATCCTTTCTGGAATTTTTTCGAGGAAATAAGTATTTAAGATTTACTTCGTAATTTTTAATACAGATATTTTGTGTTTTTATGTATTTTTACCTTGTCGCTAAGTGAGAACTGAATTAATTGAATGAGAAATAATCAATAGTCTGTGAAAAACTTTTTTTTTTTTTTTTTTTTGTTTGCTTAATTTCTTTTATACGTCGTTTTTCTAGCTTTATTATAGTATTTGAATAGAACATGTGGCAACGGTTAGATAATTCTTTAAATTATATAAATTTTGTGCATTCTGAGTTATAATATGAACGAAATATAATACTGTCAAGTGAACCTAGCGACAGAGTGTCGCTATGGTAAACAAATAGAGTGAATTTTAAAGAATGCATTTATTCTATTGTGGTTTATGCGCTGTCGGCGAGGTAGATTTAATTCAATCCAATAAGTTTAAATGAAATGCAAGAAAAATGCTTATAATTTAATATTCCGTCCAAGGAAGTCATGTGGTGTACACATCAGATTTTTTAAATCTTCAGTTAGAGTTCGATCAGAGGAAATTTCTATCAATAGTTCTTTTTCTGAATTTAATAGTTAAAAATACTTTGTTTCTTTGTATACCACTTATTTTTCTCTTGAGTACCACTAGCGGTATCGCTGCTGCTGCTTTAGATTAAAGCCACTTCATTAGCTGCAGCTGTAAACGCTCTAAGTTGCATATTAATTTCATTCATTACGCATAATATTTTAAAACAAATTCAGTCTGATGAACTTCGGTCTATCACAAGCAACGCATTTCTTTTAAATCGAGAATCTACTACATGAAGTTCTTTTCTATTACGAATTATGTGGGAATGGTTAAAGTAAAAATGCACGTTTATGTGAGTCTTGAGTAGCCTCCCATATTTCAAGCAGTACAAAGGAAACAGAAAATGAAAAAAGTTATGACCTTGGCTGAAAAAATAAGCTTTCTACCCTATTACCTTTAACATTCGTAGCCAAAACAGAATTTTCTTTTTTTTATTTAACCTTTTTTGTCTTTCAAATTCAATCACCCGTGAATAAGAATTGTAAGAATTGGAAATCTTCATTTGAACCTAAACACATAAGTCGGCCGATAAAATAACCTCGATTCATAGATAGTGAAGTAAAATAGTTCGAATAAAATCCAAAGGCGAAAGTTTTTTTTTTTTTTTTTTTTTTTTTTTTCTCTCTCTCTTTCTTTTAATCGAGAAAAAAGAAAAGCGAAATGCATGGGATTAGTGAAAGTTGAAATTTTAACTGAAGCATATCGCGCCTACACGAACGTAGCGCCCTCTGCGCACCTGTCATGCAACCTCTGCTTTCCCTTTTCAACTAGGAAGTAGGTTAATTGTTAAATCCTATGCGTTTAAGCTACCGCATATAAAAGACAATTTGAACCTAAATGCACTCAGTTTCAGAGCACTTTGAGGGAAAGAGAACTCGAGATACAATAGTAAGTGAATTGCTTCACTTTTTTCCAACACTATTTTTTCGCAAGCTGATTATTTAGCTAGACTTATTGGAATATTTGAGACGTAGGGCAAGGTCGTTTGGTAAAAATTAATTATTTATTAAAAATCAATTACCTCTATTTTAAATTTATTAATTACTCCATTTCCATTTCATATTTTTCATAAGCTAATTTTTAATTTCAAATTTCGACAAAATTTCCCCAATGCCGTTATAATGTTTTCTTATTAATTTTTATTGCCTTTACATTCTGTTATTTTACATTCTATCTTATTAATTTTATTGCCTTTACATACATTCTATTAATCAAAGAAAATATTTTCCATTGAAAAATATTTTTATGTTTTTTAGAAATATATGTGTTTCACTTTATAATTTCATAAAAGCCAAAATTTTATATTCTAAAATGGGTCGAAAACTGGCAGACGACGTTTGCGTTTTCCACCATCTAATTTTTCCCCATCTTTCAAAATGGATAAATTTGATAGTGTAGTTTAATGAAATTTTCTCGAAAACTTTCATCTTTACAGCTTGTAATTAAAAAATTATGCTTCATTTTACTTAAATTTTCCTTTCCTAATATAATTTCTGAAATCAAATTTAATAATATACTTACAGGGTGAACTATTATATATAGACTTGAGTTTTCATTACATGAAAATTCATAATGTTCTTATGTTTTTTTAATTATTAATAATACTCACAATTATATCTTAATATATGAAATTTTGATAGAATTGAGAAACCAATTAGAGGCTACCCAAAAGTTTAAGCTCCAAACATACTTTAAGCCTAAACGAGAAATTTGCCCAGAAGGGTTATTAATTTTGTTTTGGCATTTTGGGTCGTCCACTATAAAACAGCATTTGACTTTTTAAATTGTTGCCTCCAAATATTATTCTTCTGTATGATATTTAAAAAAATTAAATGATGAAGAATCTGCATGAATGTATGTATGTTTCTCGCATTGTGGAAAAACAACGGTATCTAGAGCCCTCAAATTTTGAATAACGTAGTCCTCCACTCGAATATCGGCATGTAGAAGGCCAGATTTGGAATTTATTTTACTATCTATTTCATATTTTGTAAACCTTTAACGAATTTTTGATTATCAAACTCAACCATTTCAAAGCGACCAATGGCAAACTCTAAGGGGGGGGGAAACATTTTTATCTCCAGTGCGCGAGATTGTGTATAGGAAATTCTAAAGATGTGCTCTTTTTGAATATTTTGTGATATTGCTGTTGAATTTTGTAGTTTAAGCGCGCAGAACATGATATTTAATAAACAGAGGAAACACGTAAAACATTTAAAAAACGCTCCTTTGGGCATAATGTAAAATCTGAAAGCTTTTCAGAATTTTTTTTTTCTTTTCCTTTTTTTTTTTTTTTTTTTTTTTTTTTAAATAAGTTTTGTGTAATTTTTAGATAAAAAATTACTGAAAACGGTGGTCAATCAAAATTTTAATATTGGGTAATTTCGCTATTAAAATACATGAAGTAAGAAAATTATCGCATTATTTAATATGTTGTTTATGTTTTCGTTTTCAAACTCAACTGAATAATGACTTTCACTATATCTTATGTTTCTTGCAATTTTTCTTAAAGAATATTCCATTTGGTTTCAATTTAAACTGATTGTGAATCACAGACATTTTTAATGCCCTATGATTTTGAAACTGATGTTCATTTCAATAGAGATGAATTTGATATGAATAATAGACGTAATTTATTCACATTCTGTTATTCCTTTAAAGCACGACTGGAATTCACGCTTGGGAAACAGGAATATTTGACTTTTGTTATTTCGAGAATCTACTTCTCCTCTCTAAGAATATGATGATCCATTTAAAAAAATAATAATAATAATAATAACTATATTAAGTTTAAGGCATTCTCTAATTTCTTGAAAAATGTGAACTATTAATTTATTCTTACTTTCTTTTACAAATTAAAGGAAGTATTGTAATCACTAAAATATTCAAGTATCATATTTCAACAGAAAATCCATTTTGCACGTTCCGGAATCCATTTGGGCGATTTTTTTCCATGACGTCTGCATGTACGAGCAAAATAAAAGACAATTTTTCTAAAACGGGTTATAAAATGGGTTCAAAAGGATAAGTCTGTACGTAAATTCGTATAAATATGTATGTATGCATCGCGCATAAATCAAAATTTATTAGACCTAGAACGTGGAAATTTTGCATATGGGACTGCTATAACAGCATGCGGCACCTTTTTTTTTATTATTATTGCAGTCGTTTAGCAAAATTCTGGATTCTTCTATTAAACTAAGTAATATTCACCAGCATTAGTAAAGAAGGAAAAATGTAGAACAGGAAAACAAATGAAGTTCACGTGCCAACAAAATGATCTGAAGTTCATTGTCGAAGTTCGTTTGCAGTCGTGTTAATTCTATAATCGGCGAGTTTAATCGTCAGTGAAAAAGATATCATCAGAGAAATCAAAGGAACTTTTGAAAAGTGCTGAGAAAAGTTCGCCTTGCTTCAGTGACTCAAAGATTACTAAACTTCGAATCTGAGCTAAGCCGGCTTAGTTTCTAATCTTACTTCTCTTCAGCGAGTCACACCTTTTACAACGATATCTCATTTTAATAACTGATTCAAATGAAGAATAAGCAAGAATTTCACAAACAAATCTTTTAATAACAAGGGTCAATAACATTTCTAAATGTAAATTAATGACAAATATTTTTAATTACGATATTTCTCGACAAATATCAACATTAGTTTTTAAGAAGCAAAATTCTTTTCTTAAAATACTGATCGTGAACATTATTCTGGGTTCATGAACCCAATAATATTAAATATCACCAAGTTAAAAAGATGAAATGAATTTAAGATGATGAAGATTAAGATAATGAAGGATTTCGAATGTAATTTTACTATTCGAATACAGAAAATGAGGCAAACTTGTGTAGAGTAATTAGGTTTTCCTTTTTTCTTTCGTTCTTTCCTTTTCTTTTTAAACAGAAATCATTGAAAATAAGTAATGCTCTCTCTGGGACTCGAGGCTGGACCTCTCGAATACGCGCCGAGTGTGCCAAACGTTACACCACGAAGGCATGCTGGAAGAAGGGAGAAAATACCGTATATGCTCCTCCTTTTAAAGGGCGACTGAGGAGTAGGGGATTCAATCGCCAAATCCTAGTGGTGGCGAATTGTTGTTCACCACCTTTAAGTTCGGACGCCACCAGTTTTTTTTTTTTGGGGGGGGGAACTTTGAAAAATAACCAATGTCTTCGCCGAGACTCGAACGTGGATCTCCTGAATACGCGCCAAGTGTTCTAACTGTAACACCACGAAGGCATACTGGAAGAAGAGAAAAAATACCTCATAATTGTGTGGCCTATCTAGAAAAGCCATAAGGCGAGATAGGGCGTGCCAGGAGGGTGGGCTGCGCCATACCTACCTACCTTATAATTGTTACAAATATTCAGGTTTAGTAGTGGTTGATAGATTTGGATCTGGAAGAAATAAACCAGTAGCTTAAATATGTACCTTTGTTCTCAGTTATAGCTAGTATGGGTACAATGAGATAATATCTCGGATTATCATATTTTGCTGATTTTACTATGGATATTTGCAATCCGGGAAACTAATTATGGATACAATCAGGAATGATTTCGACAAAATAGGTAAAATTCAAGTTGATGCTTAACATATTTGCAATGAACTGGTTTTCAAACCAGACGACACAGGGTTTTGTTAAGAAATCCCAAATTTTATAAAATTGTCGTGAAAAAGAGGTATTTTCTTGATTTTAATACCAAAATGCCTCTGAACTACTCTAAATTCAGCTTTGAACTAACAACTGAGAATCGATGCTTTCTCCAGCCCTATGTAGTTTTATCCTGGCAGCCGAAAAATTTCTAGCAAATTCCATTTCTCGAAATTACTGGAAGACATATACGGTTAAAGTTACATCTACAGGCCGTGTCCGGTTAGAGTTGCATATAGTGATCAGTTACATTTATTCAGTTACAATACTGAGCACAAATGTCGCCAAATGGTTGCGAAGTTTGGAAACTTTTCGTGATATCTCGCCAAATTTGGTACGAAAAACTAATCGTTAAAGACCATCGCAAAATAATATTCAACTGATTCAAAATAAGTATAACAAAGGATTCCAAAATCAAATCTTTTAGTATTAAGAGTCAACAACATTTCTATAAATAAATTAATGACGAACATTGTTAATTATTATATCTCTGGACAAATATCAACATAAGTTTTTAAGAGGCAAAATTCTTTTCTTGAAATACTGATCGTGAACATTATTCTGGGTTCATGAGCTCAATAATATTAAAAATTACGAAGTTAAAAAGATGAAATGAAGAAGGTGAATAATGAAAGACTTTGATTGTGATAACCGTGATGTTATTAATCAAATACAGAAAGAGTCAAAAAGTTCAGATTTAATTTCAGAAAGAAAGGCTATCTCGCTATCGCCAATCTAGTGAGATATCCGTTTCTTTAGTGTTAAATAGACTTGTCCCTGTATTCTTATTTTTCCGGCAAAGTTCCGCTTTTAAAATTCCATGGTTACATTATACTATTTAATATACAACTTAACTAAAATGATGTACAAAATTCGTGGCAATATATATATTTTTCACTAAAATTATCTACATATGTACAAAATTCGTGGCAATATATATATATATAATTAAAAGGTAGGAAATTAAGTGTCAGAACAGCCTTACGCTAAAGCTGCATAGTTATAAACAAACATTTATTAATAAGATAAATCATCTTCCAGGAAGAGAAAAAAAAGATGTAATCTTACACGTTGATGATACATTAGGATGTTTTTGGAAGGAAGAGAGATGAAAAATTAGCAACCGCCTTCGCCGGGAATCGAACCGCGGACCTCTGGAATACGCGCCCAGCGTGCTGACCACTACATCACGAAGCCACGCTAGGAAGGCGGGAGAAATACCTTATATATTCCTCTTTTT